CCGGCTTGTGTTTGCAACACAAACGTTTACCAGTATGGTTACTGTTCAGCTTCAAAAAGACGTAGCGTCAAATTTATCCTTTATTATTTGTTACTAAATATTCCATTAGATACAAAAAGAGGAACTTTAATCTGACTGATTTCCTTAACGATTGCGGTGTTTAAACAAAGAAAGACTCTTCAATTTAGCCGTTTAGACAGAGTACTTATAGGGAAATGCAAAATAAGGCAAAAGAAAGTTTCGAAACAATTTTCGGCGATCTGAACTACAGTAAGTGTGGTAGTAGATTTGAAATCCTCAATGGTGAGTATGTAAGGTTTAATAGATAATACCACCAACTAGGATTTAAAAATAGGTTTTAAAATTTAAAAACCAGTCAATTTTTCTTAGTTACTTGTTTTAAAAGATTTTATTTGAGTAAAACAATAATAACTAACACCATTATACGCCTTTAAGAAGTAAGTATCAGTAAAACATTGTTAAATACTTTTAAATGTATCTAAATATTTTGTAAAGTCTTCTTCGTCAAATCAACGGGCAAACACCCCTAAATTTTGTCCGCCGAAATTCCGCCACAGTCACGGCATTGTCTGTTGCTCTCCACTGCAGCTGCTGCAGCTGGAGTGGCATGGTTTGTATTGGAGAGCCACATTCAAAGCGCGTTTACGACTGCGACGAACCCCAATCTGCTATGTTGCAATAAAATGTTTAAGTTATAATATAATGTTTTCACCAGTTTTTTTTTTGGTAGAGATAGGGGATAAACGACCAGACGGGTCACCTGATCAAAAGTGGTTACCGCCGCCCATAAACTCCTGCAGTGCTATTCGCTCTAGCGTCGAATTTCAAATGAACTTAGTTTGAAATTCGACGCTGTGATAGCGCTGTAGCGTCGAATTTCAAACGAACTAAGTTTGAACTTGGACACTGTGGCACGCTTCCTTAGAGAATAGCACTGCTGCGACTCAAGAGTTACCGCCTTTGAGTCCTCTCAGGAAAAGGTAGGGTTTTGTCTCTCAAATTTTTTTTCTCTAAATATTTATTTATTTATTATCATCTAAACGAAAAGTACCTATGTGCAAAATTTTGTCATAATCTAAATCTGTAACAAACAAACAATACAAGTTGAATAAAAGCTTGTAAAAAATACAAACACAGTTCACCCTCTAAAAACAGTTCAAAACAGCACGAAAATTCCCATATTCTTTTGTTCCGTAGTAGTGTCAAGGGGTGCGGCAGCGGTACACTTACGGTTATAAGCGCCGGAAAGATTCCGGATACGGCGGCACGTGGCCGCCACCGCACTTGCCTCCGACAAATTGTTTTAAACGGTCTTTTTATTCGGCTTAGGGTCCGGCACTTTTAGCCAGCTGTACGTTTGACAATTTCGTTAAATGTATATTAATTTTATTTGCTTACTTCTATATTTTAGGTTTATAATATATCAAAGGTAGGCAGATACAATATGATAGAAATTCTTCTAAGACTACCTAGGACTAGTTACAGAAAGGATCATACTATACTAATATAATCATATCATACTATGGCATAGTGGTTTGTGTAACGGACTGCTATTCCAAAGGTCGCGGGTTCGATTCCCGCTCAAGTCAAACATTTATGTGCATGAACATTTAATGTTTGATTTGGTCTGGGTGTTTGTATGTATAATATGTATGTATTTACAAAAAAAAAGTATAAATGTATTTATATCAATTGTCTAGTACCCATAGTACAAGCTCTGCTTAGTTTGGGACTAGATGGCGTTGTGTGAATGTAGTAAAATATATTATATTATATACTATACGAAGAGCCGCAAAGCTATATTAAGCGGCCCAAAGGTATAAAGGAAGCTAAAATATTTTTAAAATTGTGACTGACCTCTATATGTAGTGCCCTCTAATTAAAGTGCCCTATGGCTAATACGTTAATCTCTGTTTTTTTGTAACTTTATAACTTCACTTTATCACCTGTAAGCAATTTGTGCATCCTATGCTTGCCTGCTGTCCGTGTAGTGACGGATTAAGAACACGGAATGTCACTACCCCAATTCATCCCGCGGGTGTCGTAAGAGCCGACTAAGGGCGCAAAACAACGTTGGATACCAGCACTGCAAAAGGAAGGAAAACTTGACACAAACCCGTCTGGCCAGCGTGGTATAGTAGGCCAAAACCTTCTTTCTAAGGAGAGGCCTATATCCAGCAGTGGACTGTTAAAGGCTGTTGATGTGATGTGATGTGATGCTTGCCTGTAAAAGGCTAATGTACTATTATGTAGCTTTGTAGTGTAAAAGAAAATTGTATTAGCATAGGTAGTTGTGGGTAAGCCTAATAAATAAATATTCTGTGTTCAGGTGCTATTTTTAATCTCACACTTAAGATATTTCATAAATAAATAGTTCTTGAAAATGTTGTAAATAATTATTGAAACTAAGATTACATTTTTGACATTGAACATTTGACGGGCCTGTTGGTCTGGTGGTTAGTGACCCTGACTGCTAAACCGGAGGTCGTGGGTTCGATTCCCACCCAGGACAAATATTGTGTGAGGAGCACGGTCATTTGTTCTGTGTCTGGGTCTAATTTATCTATAATATGTATGTATTTAGAAATATATAAGTATGTTTATCAGCGGTCTGGTTCCCATAGTACAGGCTCTGCCTAGTTTGGGATCAGACGGCCGTGTGTGAGTGTGTGAGATATATTATATTATTATTATTATTATTATATTTATATTACGCCACCCGCGGCTACGTTCGGGTAATTATTTCTCATTTCGTGGACCTAACTTTGAAAATGACGAACTTCTATACAACCGTTCATCTCTTATTTTACCCCCTTAGGGGTGAAATTTCCAAAAATCCTTTCTTAGTGCTTACAAAATAAAAAGCATCATCTGCCATAATTTCAGGATTGTAGTCCCAGCAGTTGCCCTGCTCTGCGTTGATGAAACAGTCAGTCTAAAATTTTATATGTGCAGACGATTGCAGAGTATACTGAACGTGTACTCAACTATGATTATATTATTTCTGCCACTTCGAGTGTAGTACCTGACCTGCTTCAGATATTTACTGTATTCCCCCAATTTATATGTTTAAGAGATATCTCTACTATACCACGCTGGCTAGACGGGTTGGTATAAGGTTTGTTTCAAGTTTTCCTCCTCTTTGCGCTGCTGTTGTCCTGCGCAGTTTGCTCCCTTAGCCGTCTCTTACGACACCCACGGGATGAACAGGGGCGGTGACACTCCGTATTCTTAATCCGTCACCACACGGACAGTAGGCCAAAACCTCCTTTCTAAAGAGAGGCATATGTCCAGTAGTGGACTGTTAAAGGCTGTTGAAGAGATATCTCAAATCAGTATTATCGTCTACCAGGCAGTTTATCGTCAACATGACACTTTAGAAGTTACATAGAATGATTAAGAGCAAATTGAAAGCGAAAAGGTAAAGCAACGGTATGATAAAGATATATTTATAACTCTTCTGTGCGTGTGTATGTGAGTGAATACCTCCTAAATAGCTGGACCGATTTTGATAAAAAACATTGTGTGTGTTCAAGTGGAGTCGAGAACGGTTTAGATTCACAATTCACGACAAAATGTTATACGGGGAAAATTTATTCTTTTTAAAAGAAGCAGACAAAGTGGAGGGGGTCAGCTGGTCTATACATATAAAATTACTTGCCCTAACTGACTGACTGTTGGAGGATTTTTGGAAATTTCATCCCTAAGGGAGTAAAACAGGCAATAGCTAGTTTCCTATAGTAATAACCCCAGCTGGTTATGATACCATACTTACCACGGGTTGTGGTTCAAAGTCTAAACCCTAAAATATTATTGACATACATTTGACATTTATTTAGCAAAATGTCAAGACAATCTGACACTGACATTTAGAAAATTGAAATAGTACTTTTTTCAATGCAATCATGGCCTTAGAAATGTATAGTCAAAGGGAAGTCATGTTATTTTTGTATAAATAAAACAGAATGCCTTTGGTCAAGGTCTGTGTGTACGTGTACCTGACACAAGTGTAATATTTGGCTATCAATGAAGCTTTTCACAAAGTTTTATTTTATTATTATATTTGGGGAGCTTACGCCTCAATTTACAGAATACATATGATCTTAATTTTCTAAGTGTTTTTTTTATATATTAGAGGAGGCCTGATGGAAAGTGACTATCGCAGCCCATGAACATCTGCAACTCAGGAGTCACAAACGCGTTGCCGGCCTTTTAAGAAGGAGTATGCTCTTTTCTTGAAGGTTTGAAGGTCGTATCGGTCCGGAAATGCCGCAGACGATAACTCGTTCCACAGATTGGTCGTGCGGGGTAAAAAGTACCATCTACAAGCTTCCATATGTAGAAAGAAGACATTGCTGATATCTAAAATAATACATACTAATAACACTAAAATTTAAATGGATTAATATTTTGGATGGATATGGACATTTTTGGTGCTTACTATTGAATAGACCGATGAGTTCATTGTGGTTCATCTATAACGACCTGTAAACTTTGGTTATCTATACAAATAAATAAAATAGGAGTGTCTGTTTGTAATATTAAAATAACCGCTTTTTATTAAATGCATATGTATGTTTACACGGTACATATGCCAAAATAACATTTTTTACAATTTTTGTCTGATTGTCTATCTGTCTGTCTGTTTGTTCCGGGTAATCTCTGGAACGGCTGGACCGATTTCGACGGGACTTTCACGGGCAGATAGCTGATGACATAAGGAGTAACTTAGGCTACTTTTTTAGACTAACTTCGCCCCGCCCCGTTGCCCGCGGTTATAACAACAAACGCGGGTAACACCGCGGGTCTCAGCTAGTCATTGAATTGACTAATATTCGGTTTCGTTACAGTGATGACAAACAATTAATTACACTTGAAGAAAATTGCACGTATCTAAATAAAATATCATGAATTTTTAGGTCAACTTTCCATTTTCGATCTCGAAAAAATGATATTGGTAGAGTTAAATAAAAAAGATTATGCGAAAGGGCACCTCATTCGGATCAAATGAAATTGTTCTTGGATCTCTCAATAATAACCGTAATCCCGGTAAAAACCGACTGATAGAAGAACCTAGCGGAGACACCCACAAAGGAGTATCAAATCACACACGACCTTCAGCGAGTGAAGAATATGATTCGCCAGAAGCTCTATACTTAATTTCAATCATACCGGCTTACCATACCAGCAATCCTTTACAAAATAAAGCCAACACTATATCTTTAACTCCATAAGAATAAAAATAAAAATCACCTGTTTACTTACTACCACTGAAAATATCAAATACGATACAGGCATTTTAAGCAGAAAACAATTATCAACCTACCCTCGTATCTAACGCTAGGGTGTCCAAATTCATTGAATTATTATTTTTTAAGTTCAAACGAGCATGTCTCTATTTGTTTGATTACTGGTCACGTGGCGAGGGTCCAAGCATCTCCCAAATACAGCGGGGAAAAGTTACACTTACATGATTATATGATAATTTGTTTTGTAATTTATTTGTGGATACATCGAAATGGGGATATTCTAAGACATATTACACGGAGCTTTCTAGACTCAAATTAAGCATAACTTGTTGTACAGGTGTAGGATTGGTAGGTACACTTAGATGGCTATATTGGTTGTGTCTAGGCATAATGACTGTCCTGTTGGTTTAAGGGTTAGTGAATGTGAATGTGCTGAATACTAAGCCAGGGAACATGGTACCCATTCCCGCCGAAGACAAATAATTGTGTGATGAGCGCGATCATTTGTTCAGTTTTTACTGCAGATACGTGCAGATATGTTTAGAAATTATAATAATAAATATCAATCAATCACAACCCATATTAATACATTGCATCTTAATACACATTCATTCATAATACAATTATTGACATTTTTACCATACTAATAAATTAAATTACGAATTACCAAGATTAAAATTAAATTCTTAGTGACATTTCCATCATGATAACACATACCTACATAAAATAAACAGACGAGACAATAGATATTATATTTATTCATTATATTATTAACTAGCTGAGACCCGCGGTGTTACCCGCGTTTGTTGTTATAACCGCGGGCAACGCCGCGGGGCGAAGCTAGTCTAACCTACTCCTTATGTCATCAGCTATCTGCCAGTGAAAGTCCCGTCGAAATCGGTCTAGCCGTTCCAGAGATTATCCGAAACAAACAGACAGACAGACAAAAATTGTAAAAAATGTTCTTTTGGCATATGTACCGTATAAACATACATATGCATTTAGTAAAAAGCGGTTATTTTAATATTACAAACAGACACTCCAATTTAATTTATTTGTATAGAAGAAGATATTTAGATTAATCTTATTATTATTCTTTTAATATAGAATATTTAGAAATTAAAAGTACGTTTATTAGCTACTATGGTACAGGCTCTGCCTAGTTTGGGTTAAGCCAGCCGTGTGTGCGATATGGTAAATTATTATTATTACACACTTAAATTTAGGTACCCAGACCATGCACACAATAGTTGCAGCGGAAACTATTCCGAAACTTACTGAAAGCTGACATCACACCGGGCTGTCAGTGTGGCTGTATTTCGAGCATACTGTGGCTAAGTTGAGCGCGATGTTTAACGATCCGCTCAACGCTAGCTCAAGAGCTGTCAAGTGGCGTCCGTTTTCTTCACACAGTGATATCAAAACTCTACTGGTGTATTCCACATAAAATCTGGGTATCTATCCGCGGACTCTCTTAAAAAGACGATAGAAGTTTATGACTGTACCTATGCGAAACAGAGCGTCCTGGGGTCTTCTTGACATCCTTGTAGGTCTCAGGTATTTTAATGATTATTAGATGTTTATTAAAAATTCTTGTAATTTTTTTCTCGATTGAACACAACTATGAGAGTATGTCAAACATCGGTCGTCAGTTCAATAAATAGACGAAATAAAACGGACCAACATGAACTGTGTCCCGAGAGAGCTGATGCCGTGGCACGCGTCTATCGAATGGAAACTCGATTAGATTATGCATTTTGAACGGACATGAGATATCGATTTATACCCATACATACAACCTTTTTATTTAACTTTCTATAAAAGTATTTTTTGCGGATATCATCGTTTTCAAATGTACTGTGTAAAGTGTTTTTTTATTTCCAAATAAAGCTTTCTTTATTTTAGTTATTTATCTTATACACACATATTAATTACGTTTTATTGCCTCGGTGGCGCAGTGGTAGCGAGTGCGACCGTTGTACTAAGGTCTCCGGTCGGACTAAATGTTTGTATGATCTGCAAATATTTGTTGCGAAGTTTGAGTGTTTTCTATGTATAATACTCACACGTATGTATGTATTTACAAAATAGTATATAAGTATTCTATCAGTATTATTATAATATGTTTTATATCAATATATCTCTATATATATAAAAATGAATTGCTGTTCGTTAGTCTCGCTAAAACTCGAGAACGGCTGGACCGATTTGGCTAATTTTGGTCTTGAATTATTTGTGGAAGTCCAGAGAAGGTTTAAAAGGTGAATAAATATGAAAATGCTCGATGTTTTTTTATTCCGAGCATTTTTGAATTGTTTTCATAAAAAAAAGGATTCCTCTTGTTTGTTTATTTTATACAAAAGTTTAGGTCTTTTATTTATCAATTGAGGCAGTACGAAGTCTGCCGGGTCAGCTAGTTAAATATATAAATATAATTATCAGCAGTCTGATTACCATAGCAGGCTCTGCCTAGTATGGGATAATACTGCCGGTGTAAGATGTGTGAAATAAAAAAAAATACTAGAGAACTAAATTGGTACTATAATAACCAGACTGCTGATCATCATCATCTCAACCGCAAGACTTCCACTGCAGGAGATAGGCCTCTCCCAAGGTTCAATACAACAACCTGTCCTGTGCTACCCGCATAAGTATAACGGCTTCCCGCTGTTCTCTCTCTTCTGATAAACACTTTGATATATTACTATATATAGAGATAAAGTCAGGAATGTAGATATCAGACGCAAAACTAAACAAACAGACATCCTAACACATATTGAGCGACAAAAATGGAGATGGACAGGGCATATGCTCCGTAGTAAGCATGAAAAATGGAGCAAACAGGTAACGGTCCGGTATACAAGAGATGGGTCAAGAAGCCGAGGTCGCAAAGTGAGAAGATGGGAAGATGATCTGAAATTGACTCTAGGTCCCCTTTGGCTAAGGATTGCAACCGATAGGAAACAGTGGAAGACGTTGGAGGAGGCCTATGCCGTAAGGCACACCGAACTTAGGGACATATTATGACACAAGTGTACTAGGGATTATTGAGTGGTATGGAAAAAAACTGTATAACTTCGGAATTAAAGGCTTATTATTATTATTTAGTATTATATAACTATACTAGCTGACCCGGCAAACGTTGTTTTGCCATATACATTATTTCTAAGAAATATTGAAAAAATATTTAGGGGTCCCGTGTAACCCTTGTCATTTAGGGGTATGAAAAATAGATGTTGGCCGATTCTCAGACCTACCCGATGTGTACACAAAATTTTATAAAAATCGGTCCAGCCGTTTCGGAGGAGTATGGTAACTAACATTGTGACACGAGAATTTTATATATAAGATATATATACGGTATCATAAGTAAAATAACCCAGACACAAACAAAAGCGATTACCACACAATTATTTAACCTGAGTGGAAATTTAACCTATGTTTCAGCGATTGCTAGCCACAGTCCTGTTAATTATGTATGTATTAAGAAAGCTCAATTGTGATAATCGCAACCAAATTCCAATATTATTCTACTGCATAACCTCAGACCTTCATCAAGTTGGTAACTTTACCGCCGTCGTAGTGTTGTGCCTAACTGTCAAACCGCTATCACCAATTAGTGATGTGACATTAATTGTGATGTAAAGTTCCACGGAGGTTGGGGACACTCCGAGGCACGTGTAAGCCACGCGCACAAATTTGGAGCCTTCGCCCTATGGAAATACACCAGTTAATCTTGAACTCCCGTGAGTCTCGAAGTTGTTCGTGCTGAGAAGCCTATTTGTAAGTTTCTGAGTCATGTTATAATGGTAGTGGGGATTGGAAGTTTAATGTAGGAGCACTTATATTTTATTTCTTTATTGTTGTAATTTTCGGGGGCAGTTGAGTGCTTGAGACTGCATGTATTATGGTACTGAACGATTTGTTTGATGGCAACACTTAATGGGTGACATAATCTATGAATAATATTATTTTTATTTACAATTTACTGTTAAAAATTGTTGATATTTATTTTAATGATTATATATTACATATTACAGATACATATTACCTAAAGATTACATATTTATGACTGCACGGATGGCGTAGTGGTTTAAGCGGTCGCCACGCCGCTTCCTACTACGCCAAGTGTTGTGGGTTCAAACCCCACATGGGACGACACTTTGTGTGATCCACAAATTGTTGTTCTGAGTCTGGGTGTTCTTTGTGTCCGTTTCATGTATGTTTGTAAAGTCCCCCACGACACAGGATTTATTCCTAATGCGGGAGTTGTCTTTAAAAAAAAATACTATACAACTGAGATGTTAGAGGGATCCTGGTCCTATTATGAAATAATAATGAATTAATTTGACACATCTCATCTCACACTCGTCCCAGACTAGGCAAAGCCTATACCAGGTAGCTAATAAACATATGATATATTTCTAAATCTTAATTAATATAACAAAACCGGGTTGGTTACAACATTTATAAGTTAATAACAGCTGGATCTTTTTTTAGGATGTTTAATATTTAGATTTGACTCCGCTCCGTCTTTGATACATGAAAAATTAAAGTGTTTAAGAAACTTTATTATGTAGTACATTTTATTTGAAACCAGACACGGATAAATAGTAGAAATATAACTGAAAACGCAGGCGAAACTGCTGGGATTTACTAGTACATACATATTATAGAAAATACCGTGGTGTCCTCATATCTTTCTTATCAATCAATCCATCCATTGGTTTCTCCATCCCAGTGCGATATGGCCGCTATGGAGTCATAACAATGACAGCAAAACACAATAAACAAGAGAAGGAAAACTTGACACAAACCCTATACCAACCCGTCTGGCCAGCGTGGTTTAGTAGGCCAAAACCTCCTTTCTAAGAGAGGCCTATGTCCAGCAGTGGACTATTAAAGGCTGTTGATGTGATGATGTGACTTAAACATATCAGTCATAGAAATATTAAGTTATACAGATGGTTAAGTTATCCATATTT